GGAAAGGAATGACGTCAAAGGGAAATGGCTCCGTCGCGTTTATTCGGGGGACTTCCTCTCCCGAGTTCGCAGCTCGAACAATGGGGGAAAGGCCCCGGATGGTGAAGATGACGGGTTTAAATGCATCTGTTCCATGTTCTGAAGATGATCGAGCCAATTCCATCGATATTGGCTGTATGGTTTGAGGGAGTTCCGTAAAATGCCGAGGAGGACATTTTATTCTGCGAATTCATCTGGAAGTCTGACGCTCCCTAATTGCTTTCTTTGAGGTCTTTGGAGAGAGATTACGAGGGAGCGGAGCCGACCTAAATTAGTATGGCACGAGGAGTAATCAGTTGAGGGGATTTCCTCCGGAGCCGGGCTGAAATCCAGTCATGCATTATGCATCGCGATCAAATTGTCTTCAGTGCAGCAGAAATAATCGATTCATTTCTCGAAAGCACAACGTGACTGCCTTTATTCGGTTGTGCCTTCAGAGGGGGCGAGAGAAATAGGACAACAGCACGGTCAGACTCACGAGTTCCAAATGCATTCTGGTCGGCTTGCTGGAGTTCGGCAAGGCTGTGGGGGAGAGGAAAATATTTATATTAAAGATTATGATAATTATTATATATAAATATTATTGTTGAATAAATAATTTTATATGATATTATACTAATATCACAAAATAGGAATAATTTTATAGTAAGAATAAATAACATAGTAATAAGACAATAGTGATGATATTAAAAAAAGTAATAACGATTTTTGGAATGACAAAAAGATCTCGACAAATTCTCCGGATTGAGAATGAAAGAGGCATCGGCATTAACGATTCGGAAACGAATGGAGGAGAGGCAGAGACAGCCGAGCAATTTCCTCCGGATTTCGCCTTTCCTCCGGATGCATTCTTGGAAAGATTCGAGAGTGACGAGACAGAGAACGGAAATTGGGGGTTCTTTTCGACAAAATCTTGTCCTTTTCTTGGATTGAATTTCGGTCTGGGCCCTCCCCACTTCAATCAATCTCGTATTCAGGGGGCCCCCGTCCCCCTCCGAGTCCATGTCCTTCCCCTCCCCGGATCAAACTTCCGTCCCTTCCCCAAGATATGCAAACGAGCTGGGTCCCCAGAGATGCTTCCCTCCACATATTTTACCTCGCACGACAAGGTCTCCTTTGAAAGCTGCGGAGATAAGCGAAAGGTGAAAGCCTCTGGGTCGTTCGGGGGCGTCTCCACCGGAATATCTCGGGTTATTATGTATAGTGGATTACATGTCCCGGAAAAAAAGTGATGGGTCTCCCGTAAAAAAGATGAAATAGATCCGATATGCAAATGAGACATGAAAAAGGAATGAAGGCTCGGGAAAGGAGGAGAAAAGGCAAAAAAGTTAGTACCATGTTCCTGCCTCTTTTTCTTGGAAGTCTGGATCATCGGAGGCTCCGGATCCTGGAGATCAATGAGAATGATCTTCTCGGTGTGTCTGTCGTAGACAGAACCGATCTGGGCGTTGCATCGAAGGGCGAGGAGCCACTCCTTCGTGGAGGCGGTGGGTCCTCGTACCCCCATGGAATGGGCGTTGAGGGGGAGGCTCAGGGCCGTCGTCGTCGTCCACAGTCCCCCTTCCTCCTCCTCCGCCTCTTCGTCGTCCTCCGTCTCTTGATATGAGGACACCCAGTGCTTCTCCACCTGCGTGCATTCGTGATGGACATGAATGGTTCAAGATATTACGGAGGGGGGGAGACAAAGGGTCCCGTAACGATCGGCTCGTGATTCTCTTTCCTGGCTCCCCTAAAACGAATAAGTGGGAGGGATAGAGGCTTGAGAGGGGGAGCAGAGTCTTCATTCTCTTTCCCAAATTCTCTTCTTTTCCTAACGACGCCCTAGCACTTAGAATGGTCCCCATTACGATCATTAAGGAATGGACAAGATTGGACATATATCTGAAGGTCCGGAAAGACATAGCCAATTGTATAATGAGGGGCTCCATTAATGCAGAACCTATGATACGCAATATCTACCCGAATCGTAGAGCAGCCTCTAGGGACCAGAAAGTGCATGAATATCCATGATTAATGAAAACGAGAGAGCTCATACGATTATCCAGAGTATCAGAGGATGCCTTTAGCTTGCCAGCCGAGTAAGAAACTTCTCTGCAGATGAGAGAGTGCGGAAGTGAGGGGAAATTAATTCTCTTTGGAAGAAATAAAAGATAGACCATACACCGAAAATTCATTTAGCTCGGCTGAGCCACCCCACATTCCTCGTAATTTAATGGTTTCCCACTCATTCATCCCCTCATTTCCAGTGGTCCCACCTGCTTTCCATTGACGAGCCATTCCAGTCGAGACGGGGGCCTTGAACGCGGAGAAGTGCAGTTCGCCATGAGTTCCTCGCCCACGCGGTACTTGGGCTGAGAGGTCTGGATCGCCGGTGGGGTATCGGGGAGATCTGGGGGAAGCAAAAAACTCCGTGAATGGGAAGGAGAACTTTGTCTCCATGGAGCGGGTTAATGGGGTGAGGAATATGAATGGAGAGGAAGGAGGAGGAAGTTAGGATCATTATCTCCGTTGACCGTGCATGTCCAGCCTTCCATCAATGCAGGGGGGTGAGGGAAAGGGGGGAAGGGGGGAAGGGGGGCTCCTGCCCCTCTGCATGATGACATCCTATGGGGGATCTTGATAATTCTCAGATCCTTTATGTACGCCTACCGTCACCTCTATTCATTCCTTATCAGAGCGAATTCCTTATTCAGTGAATGCAGGCCTTACGGTGAGATCGTAATGGAGACCTACTGTCTTATCAGTTGGGAACCCACCCCACCTAATACTTAAATCATCCCCATTCTCTTTAAAGCATTGACAATTCGTTAAATACGTATTTTTTTTCTTTACTTAATTCCAAGTTACCTTCTTCGTCTTTTTCATAAATAATGCCAATAGTTCCTCCCGTCATTCGACATCGTTTGAATTTTTCATTTTCATCATCATCCTATTTTTTTTTCTTCTCGGAACACCCCGACCCCGATATTCGATGGATCCTCCACGAAACGACGTCGCTACGCCCCAC